TTAAATCCTATTGTGATTGTGAAATTGTACTGAATTTATAGATGTGTTGGGGGAGTGAATATTCACCAACTTAGCAATACTTACTCTTCCATCCAGAACTTGGTATATCTCCAATTACTTGGGTCTTCTATGATTTCAGAATTTTCTTTATATATATATATATCTTGGTTTATTCCTAGTGACTTTGAACTGGAATCAGTTCCTAATACCTATTCTAATTGAACATTAGTGGAGGGCTATGGATTTTTGTGTTAAAGATAACTGTGATAGAAGGGCTATGGATTTTTTTAACATGTTCACGTTCCTGAACTCTCTTATTGTTCTAATGGAATATTTTAGTTGATTTTCTTGGATTATCTATGTAGATTATGAAAACAAGTTCCCCATAATAAAATAGTATTACATGTCATAGACTAAGTCTCAATTAAATGATAGATTCTTAGATGTTTTAATGGACAAACCTGCAACTCTTTTAAGCTTCAAATAGTTGTTTTGAAGATTGCCCTCCCTGAAGAGTATCACGAGGTCTTATCTCCCATACCTTCATGTTGCAAGGCCCCCAGGACAATCACTGGAAAGGGCCTGCCTCTTATACTTCTGAACAATACAAATCCTGAAACTGATGAGCTAAGGAGTAGGAGTGTGATTACCCAGTCCCCTGGCTAGTGAGAATTTCCCCTACTGCTTTCCTCCAGTAAACATCTTACAACAAGAGTCTTATTGTTAAGTTCTTAGTCTGCTGTCTTTTCTATAATAATAATCATGTGATCTACAAATAATAATTTTTTCCTACATCTGTAACAGGTTTATTTTTATTTTTTAAAATTGTTTCTATTTTTGCGTTTTTTTTGTTTTTTTTTTCTGATTTCTTCATCCTGACCGAAACTTTGTACCCTCTCACAAACATTTCCTTATTCCCCGACCTCAGCCCCTGGCAAACACCATTTTACTCTCTGCTTCTATGAGTTCAACTTTTTTAGATCCCACATGTAAGTGAGATCATGCAATATTTGTCTGGCTTATTTCACATAGCATAATGTCCTCCAGGTTTACCCTTGGTGTCACAAATGACTGGTTTTCCTTCTTTTTAAAGGATGAATAATATTTCATTATATAAATATACCACAATTTCTTCATCCATTCATCCATTGATGGACACTTAGGTCAATTCCATATCTTGCCTATTGTGAATAATTATAATAATGCTGCAGTGAAAATGAGTGCAGGCATCTCTTCGACACACTGTTTTCTTTTTCTTTGGATATATACCCAGAAGTGGGATTGCTGGATCATATGATATTTCTATTTTTACTTTTTTGAGGAACCTACATACTGTTTCATAACGGCTGTACTAATTTACATTCCCACTAACAGTGTACAAGGGTTCTCTTTCTCCACATCCTTGTCAACACGTGTTATCTATTGTCTTTTTGATAATAGCCATTCTAACAGGTGTGAGGTGATCTCTCATTGTGGTTTTAATTTGCATTTTCCTGATGATTAGTGATGTTCAGCATTTTTTCATATACCTGTTGGCCATCTGTATCTCTTTTTTTGAGAAATGTTTATTCAGGTTTGCTCATTTTTTAATTGGGTTATTTGTATTCTTCCTATTTAGCTGCTTAAGTTCCTCATGTATTTTGGAAATTAATCCCTCATCAGATGTACAGTTTGCAAATACTTTCTCCCACTTCATTAATTGTTTTCTTTGTGGTGCAAAATATTTTTAGTGTGGTACAATCCCATTTGTCTGTTTTTGCTTTTGTTGCAATGGTTACCCAGACTAATAGCAAGAAATTTTTTTCTTATGTTTTCTTCTAGTCATTTTATAGTTTCAGGTCTCATGTTTAAGTCTTGGGTCCATGCTGAGTAGATTTTTCATATATCATGTGAGATAAGGGTCGAATTTTATTCTTCTGCATGTTTCCCCAACACCATTTGTTGAAAAGATTTTCCTTTTCCTGTTGTGTGTTCTTGGTACCTTTGTTAAAGATCAATTGACTGTAAATGTATTAATTTATTTCTGGGTTCTCTATTCTGTTCCATTTGTCCATATGTTTGTTTTTATGCTATTACTATGCTGTTTTGATAACTATGCTTTTGTAGAATATTTTGAAATCAAGAAATGTGATGCCTCCAATTTTGTTTTTTGCTCAAGATTGCTTTGGCTATTCAGGGTATTTTGTGGTTTTATATGAATTGTAAGATTTTTTTTTTTTCTATTTTTGCAAAAAATGCTGTTGGGATTTTGATAAGAATTGCACTGAATCTTTAGATTACTTTGCGTAATTTGGGCATTATAAAAATATTCTTCCAATCCATGAACATGAAATATCATTTCAATTTTTGTGTCTTCAATTTCTTTCATCAACATTTTATAGTTTTCAATATTAAATTTTTCACTTTCTTGGTTAAATTTATTCATAAGTATTTTTCTTTATACTATTGTGAATGGGACTGTTTTCTTGTTTTTTTTTTTTTTAAGATAGTTTGTTGTTGGTATATAGAAATGCTACTGGTTTTGGCATGTTGATTTTGTATTCTGCAATTGTACTGAATTTGTTTATTTGTTTATTAACAGTTTTTTTGGTGGTGTCTTTGGGGTTTTCTATATATAAGATTATGTCATCTGCAAACAGAAACAAATTTACTTCTTCCTTCCTGATTTGGATGCCTTTTATTTACTTATATTTTCTTGCCTAATTGCTCTGAATAAGACTTAAAGTACTATCCAGAATAGAAGTGGCAAGAATGGGCGTCCTTATCTTGTTACTGATCTTAGAGGAAAAGCTTTTCACCATTAAGTATGATGTTAGCTGTGGGCTTGTCTTATATCACCTTTATTATGTTGAGGTACATTCCTTCTATACCTAATTTGTTGAGAGATTATTATTAATATTATTATTATGAAAGGATGTTTAATTTTGTCAAATGCTTTTTTCTGCTCCAGTGGCATTAGACACATATCTGATTTACTTTCCACAGTCTTCCTATTTTCAAATGAAGCAGGCTAAGAGAGGTGAATGCCTACTCACCTACTAAGGGAGTTCTCCTGAAGGAGCTCATAGTGTACTGGGAAGAAAGTGAAAAGAATGTCAGCTATAAGTATGGGACTCCAGAAGACTATCACCCAGGACATCAGAAAAGACTTTGAGTGACAGCTATTCTCAAATCTGAAACATTTAGGGCCAATATCTGAAAGCCCCAGATACTTCTGAAGGGTTTTTTAAAAGCGGAACAGTGTCATGACTAGACATCTTAAATCACCCTGGCTGCAGTGTGGAAAGGAAGGATTGAAGGGCGCTAGACTGGAGACCAGGAGAACCATTAGGAGGCTGTCTCAGTAATCCAGGTGAGAGAAGATGCAGAGGAAGGAGTCAGCCATGACTGACTTGATTGGCTGGGTGCAGACTGGTGCGTTTCACTGAGGTGGGGGAACCCTGGAGGAGGAACAGGAGAGCGAGGGTAGGATGATGAAATTATTTTGGAATATTTTCAGTTTGGGGTTCCTGTGGGATAGCCAAGTAGAAATAAACAGTAGGCAGTTTGATACACAGGTCTGTAACTCAGAGCAATCTGCACAGTGCCTGGCCAATAGCAGCACTATCGTCATTATTATATTTGGGCTACAGAAAGAGAAATGGGAGTGTGTTACTGGAGAGTGGCGATGATACACAGGAATAATAATAATAATGTCAGCAACAATATATCTAGCACTTATTTTGACTTAGTACAGAAAGCGAAGTCGTTATGAGTACTTCACATGAATTGACTCGTTAATCCACTGAATTTATTAATTCTAAGTTATTACCCTTCTCAATTGAGAAATTGAGGTAAAGACTTAAGTATAATTTGAGCAAGGACACACAGTTAATAAACAGTGGAGCCAGGGTTTGAACCAGACATTCGCACTCCGGACTCCACGATCTTAGGTCACAGTCCAGTCCATCAGCCACTAAGTGGGAGGCAGGCGCTACAAACTCATCAGAAGGTTAAGTTACTGCTGGTAAACGCTAGAGCCAGAATTCAAAGCATCACAAGAAGCCTAATGCGGGTTCTCTCTCCTTCAGAAATTTATCGTGTAGGTGGGGTGCTAAGACAGAAGAGAAAATGCCTGATAAAATCCAGGCGCTGGAGTAGTCGGGGGTGGGGCGGGGTGTGTGTCTGGGCTGGGGAACCATGGAGAAGGGCCAGCCTCCCGGCTTCCTAGAGAGGCGCGGGACCGCCCACCCGCTCGCGCTTCCGTCTTGACCACGTTCGGTTGGGCTGCGGGTGCTCCGGGTGAGCAGCCCCGGGATCGCTAACCTGG